TCTATTTTAAACTGATGGTAGATGGCGTTTTCTAAATTTTCAATAAAGTATTCTTATCTATTCCACTTAGGCGATATAACAAAATCTGTCAGTTTATCTACGTTAGTTTTTAGGGTTAAATGTCGTGAGAAAATATTTAAGTTACATGTAAGAAGTGTTTAAGAAAATACTTAAATTATCGTAGTTTCTAACAGTATATAAATTACGAAAGTAAAAGAACAAACGCTGACCTTCCGAAGAATTAGATAAAACGTTTGAACTTTGTTCCATTTGTATACAATGATTTGGTAAAGTTTTTTGGCGCCAAATTCGCTATTGACAGATTGTCCGGACATAACTTAACCCTGTTAATGCCGAGTAAGGCACATTTGTCCCAACCGTTACTCTTACGGATCGAGAGTTTCAGCCAAACTGACGGCAGGAAAAACAACTTGGTAATAATGAATTACCAGTTTACCCGATGTTTTGCTGCGCTGCGGTGCGATGTCCGTATTTTCTGTACTCATACAAAACTTTATATGCCTATTTATCCAAATTTTAATTTGGTAATTTAATTTTTAGAAATTCATTTTCTCCAAATCTTGTATTTTTTATACACATATCTTAAATCGAGTTGTCAAAATACATAAAACGGAACAAAATATACGCAGTAATATAAACAAAATATAGCATTTAGTACAGCCCTAGAATCCCAGCACGACGTCCTATCTCGGGGCCTTATGAAAACTAATGCGTTCATTTGGCGACTCGGTGACCGGCGATAAGCTATGTCAGCCTGGTAGTTGGGATTACTTTGGGCCCGCCGGACCCACTGATAAAAGTTTTAGGACTTCGTCCAAGCTTTTATAATTAGAATTGTACATACAAAATGGCCATTTTATTATGAACTTTCATTTAAACAATATTGACCTAATACGATTTATAACGTCGTTACCTAAGCAGCTACTTAGTAACTTAGTAGTATATACTTTGTGTTAGATGCAAAGCATGTAGGTAACCCCATGTTACTTTAAATTTAAACGAAGCAACTTGAAATGAGTTTTCCCCAAACATCCAATAACATAATCTAACTTTAAATAAACTATAATTTAGATGGAACAATGCGACAAGTTCCGGACGGCAGCGAGAGTCCCCATCCTCGGGAATTAAACCTTAATTAGGGAAAAACGGAATTTATAGCCGGCGGTAATACCTCACTCGCGCCCACCTGCCCTTTGTTTGCTTTGCCCAATGTACTGAACGGTTAGGGGAAGCTGCAACTGATTTCTGGTTTACGTATCTACATGTTATTTTGATTATTTATAAACCAAAGTTGTGATTACAATTATTGGATGGCTAAAGGATCTAGTGATGGGTATAGAATTTCATAATCTCATGTCAGTGTTTTGTTTTTGGATCATATTTATGACAAAGGTTTTTCAAAGTCTTTGTTAGAGAATTTAAAGATGAAAGTAGTATTAGGTACAATACTTTTCCAAATGCTACCTATATTATTTTTTTCAGTTGTAACAGTGAAAGGTTTTTATTTGCAACACTACTTATAACAGTTTTACCTTTTACAGATATATGAATCATAAATACCGGTGTCTGTTTATTTTATAACGATTAGAAAAACAATCGGCACAGATAAAAAATGATGGATAGCGGCGCGCGGCCGCGTTCCTGCGCCGGCCGCTCTCACACCGGCAACTATATTTACGTTTCGTTAATGGTTCATTTGTTTTAACGTTATGCGATTTATTTTTCTTTTGTGTATTTTTATTTGCTTATTTATGTGGCAGAAAGGAACGTAAGTTAAAATTATTTATATGTGCGCATTTAGAAATTAAAACACGAGACGTTACCGTATCGAGTTTTCAATATTCATCACTCCCGGAGAGGGCGCTGCGAATTCCTGTAACAGTAAATTATTAACGGCTTCTCGTTCTCGGAAATTCGTAGAATTACAGCGAAGAAAATTCCACTCAACCCCTCGCTCGTTTAATTCGCTTTCAGGTAATTAAAATCCAAAAACTTAGAGCGAAATTAAATTTTACTTTGTGCTATGTACTTGGGATTGTTGGCGCATTTCCTCGGGCCTCCCCGCACCGGCCGAATCCGGCGGACGTGTTCGACGACCTAAATGGCCCTTTTAACTTTTCCTATTTAGAGGAGAGCGGGCGAAATCTCACAATAATAATAATAGTTATATCAGATATCGTACCAGGGTATCATGAGCTCGAGTGGCCCCGATTATCATAAGGTATTTGTCGCTCGAGTGTATGGGCTAATAAAAATGGCGGACATAGTTCCCCCGCGGCGTACGGGGCGGCTTGTACAGCATTATGTTAATGCCAGTCGCCTATCAATTACGTCGCAAAACCGTTCCGATACACGCACCGGCATGTTTCGAATAACTTACGACTGCCCTCCGCGCCCCGCAACACGCACCCCGCACTACGCGCCGACCTCTAACTCCTGATAGCTGCCAATTTTCTATTTACTTTAATTCTCATATAACTTAAATCTTACTTACTCCTTGATGGAGATTTCTTGTTTCATCGTCTTTAAGATAGGACTTTCATTAATGTAACACTTTATCTGTATTTCGCATTTAAGTCTATCTCAGAGGAACCCTTGCAGTTACTTCATAGAGCAACGAGCGTTCAAGATAAGTCGGACGATTCCCCTCAGACAGGGCGTGCGCTATCCTATTTCATACGACGCTTAAATCTCATTATAATTAGTCTGATTTGCATATAAAATGCATTTATCACTATAGCTCATTTTTTGAGTGCATTTTATAATGCATCTACAACGCATTATGTTTGTCTAGGGATGGGATTGATAGCCTCTTATCGATGTTTTTTGTACCTTTAATTTAATGTTTAAAACTATTTATTTTGAAATAAAACCCACGTAGTTATATGATCTACAAATTACCAATAATTAAGATCGTCCTTACCATTCTTAAAATTGACATTTTATTTGGACTTCGATAAAATCCTAATTTTTTCCATACCAAAAATCTTCCTTTCTTAATCGACTTTTCCCAATACATAAATATTTATACTATTAAATTAATAATTATTTAATCTTTTATTATCTCGAATATTTTTTTTATTAATGTCCCATCACTAGTATTGGCTATTTGACACTAGTCGTGTCAACCCTTCGCCCGCCGGCGCGAAATTAACAAATCCAGAGTGTTATGATTTACGGGCCTCCGGTTATCAGGGGTCGGCCATTACGTTACAAATAAAATAATACATATACAAATGCAAATCGCGTCGCGTTCGAAGGATTATTTTGTCGGTGCGTTTTGTCTACATTTTGAATGCATACAGATTTGTTGTTTATTAATTTTGTAATGCGTCAATAAATCATTTATGACTGTACAAATATGACGTAATCTCTTTGGAACATACCGCATCTGCAGTTTGATAAGGATTGAAATATTTTTTTTTATTATTATATTCATCCAGCTTTATTTTACACAAGCTGTTGCTGGCAACTTCGTCTCCGTTAAATTAAGAAATAATAAATTCTGTATAGCATATGTTACTCGCTTATAACATTTCTTTTTAATGGTGAAAGAATTTGAACACGATCCAATAATTTTTGAGTGGTTTCAATACATACAAAAATACAAATCTTTACTCTTTATTACATTAGTATATATTATACATTATAATTATAATTTAAACGAACACATACATAAATAACAATAACTTTTATTCAGTATTGTTGTTAATTTTTAAACTGAATATTACTATACAGTATTTAATAAACAACTGAATTACTGTAATCTTAGATATTGTTTACATAAATGTAGACATTTCTTACAAATTAGAATATTACATTTGTTTGCGTTACGTTACTACAATCTGCCACAGAATATACAACTGCCAACAATCTCATTACTTAGCAACATATTGTCGCTTAAAATGCACTGCTATAACAATTATTGCTGTCAGAATTAATACACAAGGCGATTTAGCAAATTCACCCTAAGGGTTGAGAAAGTTGGGGCCCTTTTTCCATCCCCCCTCCCCGAGGGAAGGGGCTGCGTTGCCGGATGAAGAGTTAATGAACTAATCTAGATATTAACAATACATTAGTCGCAACGGACGCGACGCCATGTTTCGTGGCAATTACCTCCCTTTAGGGATACAACCATTGTAGGGTCCAGTGGGAACCTACCTTTCAAATTTGTTAACATTTTCATTACAGATTATTAATAAAAAAAATCTAATGTTTAAAGCTAGATAAAGGCATTTAGTAAAAGTGTATTTTTATCTGAACACACACGTGTCATCTTGAGTATTTCCCCGATAACATCGTAAATTGGCATTTATTTTAACGATAAATCCCTCACTTCAATTTATTTGAAGTGCGTGAGTTAATTAAATATCATAACCAATAAGCAATCGGTTGAAATTTCGATAAAACACACGTCGTATTATACAAAGAATAAATCGAATCACAAAGCAATCGGGATATCCGTCGCTCGGCCGGCACCGGGATCCGGGATTCGTACTGACAGTTAATTTGGGAATGCACCGCTGCGCCCCCTGGCGTTACTTATTCAGTGTTACTCCTGCCGGCAAGTAATTGCATGGGTATTAAACTTTCATACTTACTCAACGACAACCGTGGACTTCGTCTTTCAAGGCTCGCAAAAGGTTATCTTCCAACTAGCTTTTGCTCGCGACTTCATCAACGTAAAAATTTAAAAGTAGTTACAAAAATAGCCCATGTTACTCAGCGATAACATAGCTTTTTAATAATGAAACAATTTTTAAAATCGGCCCGGTAGTTTTTGAGTTATTTCAATACATACAAAAAACCAAAAATACAATTTTCACTTTTCAATATCAGGTATAGATAAGTGTTACACTAAAACACAGGACACAAAGTAACGCTTTTAATAAAATTAATATTATTTACACAACTACATAATTTATGGTGTTTTCATATGTTTATGTTTACATAATTAATATTTGTTTGTTTGTCCACAGGTTTATTAACGCGAGACGCAGGATAGTGCAGCCAATGATAGACCAGTCAAATAGAGCAGGTAACATTTTTCTTATACATCTATATGTTTATATACTTAACAAAAATATACACCATTCCTTTTTTACTAAAGTATACATATGATGGTTGGCATTCCACAACGACGAGGTTTTCACGTACCTTCTTACCTCGTACAGCCGCGTTGTGGAATACTCTATCCTCAGCGGTATTTCCAAACAGTTACAACTTAGGGGCCTTCAAGAAAGAGCGTATTCCTCCCTTAAAGGCCGGCAGCGCATCTGCAGTTCCCTTGACGTTGCGGATGTTCGGGGGCGTCGGATCACTTGATACCAAGCGATTCGCTGCTTCTTTGTCCGCTTTTTCTATAAAAAAAAATGAACTTTAGTAACCCTTAGTAAAACTCAAACGTGTCCAAAATGTAAAACTTCAGTCTCTAGTGGCGCGGGCATCTTTGATATACGAAATTAAGTTTCACTGACCGCATACTGTCCTGCATAATGCAGACACCTGAGCGGTCTCGGATGTGTCCCGGAGGCACTCAGGCTACACTAAAGGCACTACAGGCATTTGGTCAACACAAAGACGCAGCTGCGACGTGAATAATGATTGGATCAAGGAAATTGCACCGAAGCTTTTGTCGCATTACCTCGCCCGAGCGCTAATTCCTACGGATTTAACTTGTATATTAGAAAGGGGATTCCGTTTTTTGGTTGCCTCATTTTAATAGCTTTATTACATTCTAAATGTTTCGTTTTTTGTATCTAAGAGTTATGATTTCTTCTATTTCCTTGTAAAGAAGTTTCCATAAATTATAAAAACATCATTTTTACATGCGATCTTTACTAATGGTGTTTGGAATCTATTCTCTTTAATGTCAATCACTAATTAAATTAGTTTTTTAAACATCGATGTTTTTAGATTGTAATCGATAGAACATCACTACAAACTTCATCACATATCGAGCAATCGATCTTATCTTGCCGTTTACAGCCGAGTTGAATTACAAACGGCCAATTCCATTTTTACTTTGTAATTGTTGCGCTCAGTCCATAAAACGCTCCCGGGACGCAAAACATTCCGCCGGCAAGCGGGAAGAGGGGAAAAAAGGACGTCGCAGAAAAAGGGCTTACTCTTGCGAACGGAACGCAAGAAGGGTAAAAAAGAATAATGTCCGAATTCGTTGACCCGTGCCGGGCTATCCATCACTCTGCCCCCTCCCCGGACTCCCCCGATCGCCCTCGCCTCCCCTCCATCTCCCCCGGCTCTATCGCGATGTGTGTTACTTCGCCTATGAGAGGATTACATCTCTTTTTGTCTTTGAATTTTTTATACGATAGCATTCATTTAAACTAACCGATATTACAAGGCAATGTACAACGGACAACGTATTTTTTTTACTTATAAGTGTCAATAAACATAAAAAATATAAATCAGTTTAGTTACAAAGTAAAAGATGAAATTTTAAAACGATAAATATAATATCAATTAAGTTCAATATAATAAATATAAACCTTAGGCATAAATTATTATTATAATCCGTATCATTGGACTGCACTCAAATTATCTGTCCGCGAGGCTCTCGGCCTTTTTAATAAACTGCACGAAGCGATTTAATCCGCGCGAAAAGCTCAATAAACGATCCCAGGAAATATCGGGGCGCGGCCATCGAACGAATTGTAATTTACAGGCGGCGGGTAATGGCGTCGCATCACACTGCAATTTATGCCCTTATAATAAATTCATTAGCGCGCCTCGCCACGCTTGCCGTATGTATGTATGTACTGACAGGCGTGTTTGTTGACTGCCGAGTAATGCCCGTATCGATGCACCGATGACAGCCCTAGCTCGATACGCGCTCAATTAAACTAATGGCAACATTTTTCCCGCCATAACAAAAAACAATTGAATACCATATATGTTATTATTAGACAAAGTTTTTTTGAGTCTATTAATTTGCTATTTTTCATATCGATATCGATAATTCTGAATCACACAGACACCACACTATCTTTTTGTTTTTGTAATCTGTGATATTGTTTGCAAAACCTAAATTTTTTTTTTATAGAACAAGTAATAAATCAAATTGTTGCACCGTGCGTGTTCAATTTTAAGTAATACATGGCACAACGAACTCACTAGAAATACATAACTCGGCGCTCCGGCGATTGGAAAAGCGCTCGCTTTGACCACAGGAAATGCGGTGGCCGTTTTCTTTAGTCGATTGCCAAAACAATTTTCCATCTATCGTACTCGCCGGTTTTTCCATTTTCCGTCGTCGGCAAACTTGGCGGAGAGCGCATCCGCTCGGGAAATTTAGAAATCTCCCTGCTTTATGTCCTGTGTGTTTAGTATACCACCGCCACCCGTCTGCCGCCATGGTACTTAAGACAATGAACTCATACAAAATTTCCATGCATCGAAAATTAAATCTACCAACATTCATGATTCAAATTTTACTTTGAAAACAGCTTTTATGATAATTTTATGATTCCTTTATTCCTTATACATTTCGTTCACATTGCATTATTAAAAAGTATATGCACAATAAATCCGTCACGTACAATATAACAGTTTCTCGAATATTTCACTAATTAATATGTTATATTATAAATATCAATTCACTTTAACAATGACAAACGCCACAGGAATGTCAGGGCTTGATTAGAACTAGTGCTTCCAAACTGCTCCAGTACGATACATTGACAATAACGTCAAGGACGCTCTTGAAGATTATCGCCTACTAAATCATAGTTTCCTGGTAGCGCGGGCCGCCGACGTCCCGGGGGACCCTTTATTGTTTCCTGTCTTCCTGGTTGCAAAGTGGGATCTACGCGTCATCGGTCACTCTATCCCGGTCTTTTCGAACAAAATTCCAACTTCGTTATTTCATGTCGTTTGAAACAAAGTATATTAAACATTTGTCTTTGTGCCAATAAAGAAAATTGTGCGCTTTGAAAATGAAATCTATTAACCCAAATAAATCCAATCCTAGATTCATAAAAACAGAAAAGACATATTTCTAAAACTATCGTTATTTAGATTACATTGTACCCTTTTTCTTAATACTCTTTTACTTGAATAATATCTATAAATAGTCACGTAACGACGTGAAATGAATGGAAAGGATGGTATTAAAAAAGTTTTATAGAATTATTCCAAGTGTATTGACAAATTGGAACGTAGTTTTTTTTGTAAAGTCATTCCGAACAAGACATTAGAATGGAGTTGTGTTTGTTCGCAACTCTCGTGGGGCAATGGCGCGTGCCACCATAAAGACCCCACGACGAAGGCGGAAATCGGCGTCTATAATGGACGAACACCATTAGTTTACGATTGATAATCCCCGGGATATATTGCCACCGGAAGGCATAACAGTTTTGTGGTAAAATCGAGCGGCTTCCAATAGCGACATCGACGATTGTTCGAATAACAGTTTTTTTTTACTTGCTAAAAATTTTTCGATGACGTAAACGGAACTGAATTAACAATGCTGACAACTTTATTTACCACAATTGCTACATACGGACTTTTAATGTTAATCTAAAATTTTTCAGTAAAATATAATAATATATATAATAAGACTACGTTTAGCAGCCTAAACAACGGCAGGTCTAATTAACCGTGCAGTGTTCTACCCCGCAGTGTTCCCGCATGCGGGTCCTAGCGGCGCATACAGCCCGGAGGCGACAATGGGCTACATGATGGAGGGGCAGCAGATGATGCACAGGCCGCCCACGGACCCCGCCTTCCACCAGGGATACGCGCACTACCCCGCCGAGTACTACGGCCACCATCTGTAATGCACGCGACACTCTTGTACATGTAAGTACTTATCTACTCATTCTTTAATCTATGGTCTCATGCTCTCCGATATTAGAGGTCACCAATACCGTTCTACACCGATTCCTGTCTGTCGCTTGAAGGTCACACTGGTCCTTGAAGTATTGGGCTTTAATCTGTAGTCTATTATTGCACTAAGTAGAATTTAAGGATACGCGAGTAATAGTTTTCTTATATGTGTATCTATTGTTTCAGATTTGAATAACACGGCGCTAGTCGGGGCGCCGCGGGCGGCTGCGGCGGCCGCGCTCGCCGAGCCGCTCGCCGCGCCGCTCGCCGCGCGACCTCGTGGCACGAACAAACAGGAGAACGATGCTACATGTACATAATGCGATACGTTTTGTAATATTGAAACAGTATACGATCTCCTAAATTAAGATTTAAAGTCAACTTTAATGTTTAAATTAATGTAAATGATGACGCGGAGTGACACGGACGCTGTAACATAATCGACGGTGCAATCATCTACATATAAATAAAATACGATATCAACATACGGAATAACGTAAGGAGCAAGCAAATGTAACAATAATACCGTTTGATTGTTATCGTATATTTATAGCTAATTGTGTATTGTTATTACGTAAATATAAATAAATAATTGAATAGTTGTAAGTTGTAACTATCATTGGATGTACCGGGGTCGATAGAGTGGGACAATTTGTTTTGTAAAGGAGTTTTTTTGTATGTAATAGAATTTATAGGTTTTTTCAACTTCATTTAACTCTCGCTGTTGATAACGACCAATAGATGAGTCTATTTAACTTTAATAAGCAAATATATTCTGTATTAAATGTTTTACTCATCACCAGTCACATAGATTGACTCGCACAGGACTTTAGAACGGGGGCAATGCAAATAAATTATAAAATTGCCGTAATGATAGACAAAACAAACTGGGTCACAAATATTCATTAGACTTCTCTGGCTTTGGACTTAACTTTTTTGGTACCTGTGTTTTTAATTTATCTGCATCTTTGACCCAAAACCAGTTAGAATCGTGAGCTCAAAATGTACATCTAGATAGAAAGTCAATTTATAAGAACGTTGTTTCATCGCCCGCGCTGTAGTTTTGTGATTTTGCTTTACAGGTCGATATACATATCTTTGAATTATGTATATATTATATACATACATATATATATTTATTATATTGGAAATGGAAATATTGTAGTTTCACCTTGCCTTGGTGTTCAATAATGTAGCACAATTTGTAACCGATGTATACGATGAAAATAATATTTTACAATGTTAAAGTCGATGAGATTTTTAGCTCTATTTTGTGTCGGGAGATGGCGTGGATCGTCTCGGACGTAACCAGTACCTGCCGACGCGGATTTAAACCTCTTTGTAGTGTGAAGGCTACAAAAGATGATTATTTTATTTGTAGCCCTTTTAAATGTCATACAAAGCGGTTTGTGAGATTTTTCTTGACTGATAATCGATTGAGCTTCATAACTCGAATTGAAATCCGCTTTTAATGGGAGCGGCCATTTTAAGCCTGAAGGGATAAAAACGCGGGAAAATCCGTATGTAATTAATATTTAGTTACATTTAAATCTATGTTCTTTAACTGTTACCTTTAGTTTGCTTTAAATATAATTTAGATTACTTCGTTATCTGTGTGTTTGATGAAAACAAAATGGCCGTTCTCATATTGTCCAAAACCAAAAGAAACTTCAACTGTCGAATGTGACAGGAGCTGTCAAATTATTTGGTTTTGGCGCGTCTTGTCTATTAATATAAAGGTTACGTGGAGTGCTTCCTTTTTCTCCTAAATAATTTTGCTTAATTTTGAATTTGAATAAATGACCAATGTTTTTTTTTATATCGTTTTATTAAAAAAGTAATAGTTTCTTGCTTTTACGCCTCCACGGTAACTTTTTTAAGTGGTAATGCTACGCATTACTAGCCTTAAGCCATGTATACGAATGGGAGCTATAAAATTGTCAAAAATTGGTCCTAAATAGCTATGATTATAAATTAAAATAGCGGTAAAAAGTTATCCGAGATCAAGCTTTATATTAGAATAATTGTAATATTTCCTCAAAGTTATGCGATATGGTTGTTTTATGTTTGATGTCTTCGTTAGATAAAAAATTATGCGCGGTCTACACTTGGCCAGTAGCACTATTAGGACTGACAATCAACTGGCACAGAGTGAACAGAGTCCGTACAATCTATGACTTGCCTAGGAACTGTCCAACTGTATTGGCTAAGTGTAAACCAAGCATTACTACAATTGTTAAAATCTCTTACCAGTACTGTAACTATTATTTTAAATTGTTAGTTATAATAGGAACATTAATAATATCAGAAGTCAATTTCGTATTTTAATTTAGTAACTTTTTTAAATCTTAGTTTGATAACAACCGTATCGCATTCAATAAAACTTTGGATGTCTTTTTGTTAATTCTTTGTAAATATATCATCGAATTGATTCGCTTATCTTTTGTATAAAACTCGTTTGTTTCCAGTGAAGTTTCAGTATTAAAAATAATAATGTTTGGTTTATAACGGACTTTTACTTTTGAAACGCTGGTCTTTGTTAATATATCCCTATTATTATAATTGTTAATTACATGGCGTGTAATATATTTTATTAAGAGAAAAGTCTTAAAGTAGCTGTTAGAATAATGTATTAATTGAAGAATTTTATTTTGATTTTTCTCTTTACATGTATATGTATACATAACGTTTGAAAGTCATGGAATTATTGTAAATATAGCCTATAAACTAACGATGACGTCATCTCGCAGCGGTCAAATATCACTCTCGGGGAAAATGTTAATTATATATTTGTATTGTATTTTAACGGCGATGGTACATGTAACTGATAACGAGAGATAAGGTTCACAAATTAACCGCAACCTGCACGCTGACGAGATGTACTGACAGGTGGGATGTGTCGGCATTATGAATGCTACGAATTGTGTAAAAAATATTAAAAACAAAAAAAAACTTTTCGTTTCATTTTAAAACCTTTTTTAATACACACTTTAAAATCAATGAAGTAAAAAAAATATCATAATTAAAACTAGCAGTTGCCCGCGACTTTGTCAGTAACATAGACTAAATTAAAAAAAAATAACAAAATCACAATATTTCATAGACCATCTTATCAAATACAGTCAAAATCATTATTGTCGTTCCTTCAGACACACAGACAAAATATTTAGTAACACAAATACAACATTTTCAAGACATATGACCGCTTTTTTTTCACACATTTTAATTTTGTTACACGTAAAGATATATTTAAATATATAAACCATATAAAAACTCATGTTTTAGCAGAGAAAATAACGGTAGCATACTTATAACAATTGAAGTTGTTACAAAAATAGTTAACAAAGGAACACGTCTTGAGCCAACAAACTTGAGGCAAAAAGTAGGAACGCCGAGAACAAAGTAAAGTGTCTTCTAACGAGGCGGGTCAGGTGTACAAGAGATATCGCCGCTTTTAACTTACTAGGAGAGCAGATGCAGCGGAATAACTCTTACACCACTATAAACTGCTGATGCATTAAAACTACCAGGAATGCAGGAAAATTATTAAAGTTTTAAGTAGTTTCCACTTACATTATCTATACTTATAATAAAATGCTGTATCCGTTTGTAACATCAAAAGAAAAGTTCCAGATTTCGGGAAGATGACGTATTTGCGTGCGTGTAAAATTGCGTGGACGAAGTCACGGGCAAAGTTAAAAAATAACCTTAAATTAAATAAAATAATATTGATAGCTTTATTTTAACAATAAACATTTAATATTAATTAAAATACCTTACCATTAAATAGTAATTAAAGTACAAAGATAGCCGCAATCGCAAACGGTGGCTACGAGCTTGCAGCTACGGCGTAGCAGCGTAGCGGGCGTGGCGCGTCGAAAATGGCGGCCGACAGTGAGTAATGGCACGCCGGGACGAGTCCAGTGACGCGTGTGTAGGGCTGTCACTAACGTTGTTAATAATATTTGACTGTAATATTTAACTATCATACAATGTTTATTACTTAAAAAAAACATAACTTCAACGAAATTTCGCAAGTTGATAAAATATTAAAATAAGTAAGTTAATTTTAGTATAATGCATTAGGTCAAATATCACCTATGTTTTTGAATACTTTTATATATTATTAACAACAAGTAAGATATAATTATATCATTCACATTAAAAAAAAAACAAATAATTGCATACGATTCAAGTATAGAATCATAGTTTAAATTGTACTCTTTCTTTCTTTAATTCAATAATAATTAAAACAAACATCATCTCGAGTATCGAGTATCGAGCATCCCTAGGTTTTTTCCTACAACGTAGCACTGTAAGCAAGGCAGCGATTGTATCGCGGATGCTCGGAGCGGCACATTTGTCAACCTTAGCCTCCCTGTCCCCGCCCCGCACCCCCCAGCCTCCGCACCCCCACGACAAAAGAAATGCGGATCCAGATGAAACTAAAGCCATGTCAATGTGTATTTCTATTACATATTTGTGAGTTCTCTTTCTGTATGAGAATATATTCGAGTCTAAATCATCACTTGCTTGTATGAATGCTCTCGTTGAGAATAAAAGTGTTGGCATTCATAGGAAAATGGTAAATATCAAATAAAGTAATGTATACAAAAGATATCGCAATCCAACATCTTATTCCTTAGGTTATTAAGATGTTAATGAGAAAGGCTTCGATATACTGAGCAAGAATCTATACTAATATTATAAAGAGGAAAGATTTGTATTTTTGGATTTTTGTATGTTTTAAAATAACTCAAAAAAGACTGGTCTGATTTAAAAAATTCTTTCACCATTTAAAAGCTACGTTATCGCTAAATAACATTTGTATTTTTGAATTTCACGCAGACGAAGTCGCGAGCACAGAGAACAGATAGATAGTATTTCATAAACTGAATGAACTTAACTTAAAAAAAAACTCTTTGACCATAAGTCTTAAGATTGAACAAAAATGGTAAGAATTTTCAATGTTAAATGATGTATTTTTACTTAAGAAAAGAGTATAGTATCTTTTACATGCAACCATAACCGACACTTTGTAAAGTTAACAAATGGACTTTTGGATACATCAAAGTTTCTTCTATTTCATATTACTCAAAGACATAATATTTGACATAACAAGCCTCTTTCAGCTGATCGTATCTGGCGTCTACGAGGGGAAGTCTACGCTGAGATCGCTACAGCAATAAATCTTTTCAGACAATTATCTAATAGCGCTTAGATCCGTTAAATTAAAGCAGAAACGCACAAATCACCCTACGGGGATGGATGCAGTACATGTTTCCAATATATAGTTCAGATAGAAAAGTTTCATTTTAACAACTAAAACACGCTACGAACATTCAGTTGTGACTGAAGTGTTTCGACATGTTGTAAGACTGTCCAATTCAAGTGACAATTATAATGTTGCCAACATACATTTCGACTCTTCAGCTAAAACTGACTGTATGTAGGCTTTAAGTTACTCTTGTAGACACTTATGTTTATACTAAGAGAGCAAACATTTGACTAAACTATAGCACAACTGTTGTGCGATTGTCAATTATTTCGCAGCCGATTCAACTGTTTAGTTGCACAATAAAAAATGTAGTAGTGTGCGTACCTCCATATAAGCTCAAAGGAATCATCTTACTAATATTATAAATGCGAAAGTTTAGATGGATGGATGGATGGATGGATGTTTGTTAGCGTTTGTAGCCTAAACGGCTGAACGGATCTCCATGAAATTTGGCACAGGTTTAGATCATAGTCTGGAAGAACACATAGGCTACTTTTATCCCGGGAATAGTTACGGTTCCCGTAGGATTCATTAATTTCGTTTTTTTAATGTTTACATGATCATTCTGCAACGGTTCAACATATCATAATGAAATTTGGCACAGATATAAAACAAAGTCTGGAGTACACATGGGATAAGCTTCATCCCCGAGACATGTCCGGTTCCCGAGGGATACGTAGTTTTTTGTAATTTATATAGTTCGTATGTTTTCTAATACCACGCGGACGAAGTCGCGGGCAACAGCTCGTCCTACATAAGGTTCGCACACTACTACCTTTTACAGTGCATTAATTACTACTTTCTTTGATAAGCGAGACTAACCAGTTGTGTAATACATTTAAAAAGTAATAAAAATCAAAGGTTCAAGAACTTATTTGAAGAAAATGTTAACATGAGTATTGAACAGCAAACCCATAGAGCATACTCCAATCACTGGGCACATACAACTGTAGGACATGAGGCCGTTTCAATTTCAGCGGCGAGGTAATATAAGAGGGCCCGCGGCGACATGTTTATTGGTTAATTAAAGTTTTACTTCAGCGGAAATAAACACAGGGCGCGGACCGACAATATACTGCTGCGACATCAAACTAATATCTTTTAACTAGTGATTCTATTATTTACAGTGTTTTTATAAAAGTAGGTAAACGACCAGCGAAACCAAAGAAGTAATCATCGACACCCATGGACGTATTAGAGGAACAAGCATTGTCGGCCTTTCAGAAAGAGATACGTTCACTGAAGGACCCTAAGTCGTACTGTTTTGGAAATAGTTCTACAACACACCTGTGAGGAATATTCCTCAAGAATCCTACCATTTTAATAATAATTGTCTATTAAAACTATTAAATTGAGACTGCCGCATTCTTCATTTATTTGTTTCCTAAACGCCGTAGTGTAGGTTATTACTAAATCTACACTCAGTGGCTTCCTTAGTGAACGCCAAACGAGTTAAATTCAATACATATTGCTAATAGGTAAAATGTTATTACCCTTAAAATAAGCATACGAATTGTTTACAACCTAAAATATTATTATTAATAATGTTAGCAACTATATATTACAATAGTTTAACTACACGTTGCGCGTCACCTGCACGACTAAAAACAATAAGGCGAGATCGCAATTTATCCCGCGACTACCCCCTACGGGTCCACCC